TGAATTGAGTGCATGGTCTTGTGAGCTTCCTCCATCAGAAGATTTCTCATTCCTCCTGTTTTAGGTACCAAAATCTTGTCTTGGAATAACTTCAACCCTTGGTTGTTTGTACCGAACACTAACATTTTGCCCAAATTTTCATCCTTTCAGTCATTTTTCTCTGAAGCTTCCTCCTGAGCTTTCTTTATACTTTCCACAATTGTCAAGACAACTTCAATTCTCAACGCCCTTGGCCTTTTCTTTTCAAGGTTTACCTTCCGACTGAGAGCATCAACGACAAAATTTGCTTTACCAGGGTGGTAAAGTATCTCATAGTCATAGTCCATGAGTAACTTAAGTCAGCGTCGTTTCCTCATGTTCAATTCCTTCTGATTAAAGAGATATTCAAGACTCTTATAATCAGTGAAAATTTTGAACTTTGTACCATAAGGATAATGCCTCCATATCTTTAGGGTGAATACTACCACTGCCAACTCCAAATCATGAGTGGGATAGTTCTTTTCATGCTCTTTCAATTGTCGAGATACATATGCTATCACCTTTTCTCTTTGAGTTAGAACATATCCCAACCCGACTCCCGACACATTGCTATACATTGCGAAGTCTTCAACTCCATCCGGTAGAGAAAGAATCGGTGCTTAACATAATTTCTTCTTTAGCTTCTTGAATGCTTCCTTATGCTTCTCACTTCAAGCATAAGTAGCTCCCTTGTGGGTCAAAGCTGTCAATGGAGCAGCTATCGAAGAAAAGCCTTGGATAAATCTTTGATAAAAATACATATATAGTTTAAAACTTGTATAAAATATTTATTCAACACCCATCTCAAATAAACAAACAATATAATTACACATAGCATGTATTTTGTAGAAAATACTTCATATCTATGTGTAAGAAGAAAGTGATTATACACTCACTTCTTAAGACGATAATTGGGCAGCACCTTGTCTCTTAGAATGATCGTTTCCAATAAAACCAGGTTGTTTTCCCAAAAACCGGGTTCCACACGACCAGAGTTTCGGCTCGATAATTCTTTTTCTCAAGATCTTGGGGGCTTCGGGACTTGCTTCGGGTGTTGGGGATGATACCAGGGCTTTGAGGGGTTAAAAGTAGGCTAAAATAGAGTAAATTGAGTAAGTAGGCTAAAATTCATATCTTTTGCATACGAGCTCCATTTTTGACATTCTTTATATCCACCCGTAGGTGAGATTAGACTCTACAACTTTCGTTTAGACTCTGTCGGCTAATTTTGAATTTATTTTTAATTTTATTATTTTTAACAAATCGGGACATGACAAATCGTTAAAAATTCATAACTTCTTCATCCGACATCCATTTCCGTCTGTCTTTTTACTGTTGTACTACTATTGACGAGACATTTGATTCTTATTTAGGTTGTTTCGGCTAAAAACACTCGATTCCAAATTCGAGTTTCGGGCTACATACTGCTATGCCAAATCTTAGAAAATTCATAACTTCCTCATACGAAGTCAGATTTGGATGTTCTTTTTATGCACATTCTTGGTTTAACGAAAACTACAACTTTCATTTAGGTCACTAATGCTAAAAAGCACTTTATCGTAAATTCACTTTTTACGTCACATATCGTTGTGTCGGTTTTGTCGCGAAACTTCGACAAGTCATAACTTCTTCGTTATAACTTGGATTTCGGTACTCTTTATATCTCCGGAATCCTTATTTTGACCACTACAACTTTCTTCATAGATATCAGGGTTATTTATCATTTATTTTTTACGCTTATTTTTATCCTTAATTCATTATCTTATAGTAATTAAGTATAAAACACATAATACTCAAATAATACATCTTATTATTTCAAAACAAATCACAAAGGTTGACCTAGACTATTACATCATCATTAATGCCTAGCCTAGAAACACGAGCGTTACAATTTCGACCTAAGATAAAGAAAGATATTGATGGGATATTTGCTTGGTTAACTGTTGGTTATTAACATTGATACATGTTGGGTACATTTTTGTATTGGAAATGAGGAAAACATCTAAATCACAAAGTCAACACCTTATCTTCTTTCCAGCCAAGAACCCCTTGAAACCCCCTTAGTATGACCGAAATCACATTTGATTTCGGTTCTAGGTATAACTTTGACCAAGTGTGATTTCGGTCATGGCATCACCCATTAAGGGTGATTTCAGTCTTGACATGGAGTTTGAGTCCTTAACATGATTTTGGTCCCAATGGTTCATGTGATAGGCAAACCGAAATCACTAGGGTGGTGGGTCCTAGGCCTATAACACTTTAAACGCAAATGGAATTTTTGTAATTCTTGGTTCATCTTGTTGACTTTCAAGTGTTTATTACAAATATGATTTTCAAAGCATATATATTTACTTCTACAAATAATGCCCCTTTTGGTTTACAAAATTTTATTACAACAAATTACATTGTGAATTCACTTGTACACGGTTACAATTTAGATCTTGCTTGTTCCAAAATTTTCCAGTTGTCACATCATCCCCCTGTTAGAGGGAATTTCGTCCCGAAATTAGCATCTTGGAAGGGTTCTTGCAAGCAGAGTAAAAGTTGTGGGTACTTGTGTTTCATCTGATCTTCCCGCTCCCAAGTGAATTCAGGCCCTCGCTTGGCATTCCAGCGGACCTTCACTATTGGTATACGACTTTGTTTCGTTCTCTTGATCTCCATGTCCATTATTTCCATAGGTTCCTCTATGATTTGTAGACTCTCTTTTACCTCAATTTTCGTTAGGTGGAACTATAAGAGTCTCATCGGATAGACGCTTCTTTAGGTTGGTAGGTGGAAGGTGGGATGTACGTTACTAAGTTCTGTGGTAGTCGGAGTTTGAAAGCTTTCGGACCGATTCTAGCAAGGATATCGAATGGCCTGATATACCTTGGATTTAGCTTTCCACATTTGCTAAAACATATCATTCATTTCCAGGGTGAGACCTTCAACATAACACGGTCACCAACCTGGAATTCCAAGGGTTTTCATCGCTTATCGGCATAGCTCTTTTGCCAATCTCGGAATACCTTTATTTGTTTACGGATCTGGATGATCTTTTCTGTAGTTTCTTGTATGATCTCCGGGCCAGTGAGTGTGCTATCAGGCACTTGCCTTTCTGCTAGTTGTGTGTCACCCACGTCAGCTTAACACAAACGTGATCCGCACTTGCATCCGTAGATGGCTTCAAATGGCGTGACTTTGACGGTAGTGTGATAACTGTTATTGTAGGAGAATTCGATGTATGGTAATTGGGTATCCCAGTCCTTACCAAAGTCTATCACACATGATCTCAACATGTCTTCCAGCATCTGAATGGTCCTTTCGCTTTGACCGTCTGTTTGAGGGTGATAAGTTGTACTCATGTTGAGTTTGGTTCCCAAGGACTTTTGGAGTGAATGCCAAAATCGTGAGGTGAACCTACTATCTCTGTCGGAGATGATAGATATTGGCACCCCATGTAGTCGCACGATCTTTAATGTACGTCCTTGTGAGCTTCTCCATCTTGTCAGTCTCCTTTATTGGTAGGAAGTGTGCAGATTTGGTTAACCTGTCAACGATCATCCAGATAGTGTCGAGTCCACCTGCTGTCTTGGGTAACTTGGTTATGAAGTCGATGGTTATCTTCTCCTACTTCCACTCGGGTAAATCCGGTTGCTGAACCAACCCGAGGGTCCAAAAAAACGGTCTGATCCGATCCATCGGTCCAAATGCTCATCCCTAGTTGTCGACGATAATAGGAGATAGTTGCTCGAATTGAGAAAGAGGACACATAATAGAGAAAAAATGAGAGGGGGAAAGAGAGAGAGAGAGAGAGAGAGAGAGAGAGAGAGAGAATTGATATAAGTTTTTAACATTTATAATTAATCTCATTTAATTGATAATTATAAATAAGTGAAAAAATAAAATAAAAAATGACAATATAGTCTTTTAAAATGAAACGAGTGACTAAAATGATAAATGTAAAAGAAATGAATGACTAAAATGATAAATTTAAAAGAAATGAGGGACTAAACGAGCTTTTGGGGCACTTAAACGGAAATTACTAACGGCTAACGGCGATAGGAACTCACCGTGCAAGAAAATTGAAACATAGGGACGGTCCGAGTTAATTTTTAAAAATAGAAACTAAACATATTTTTTGGTACCCAATCGTAGGCGTGTTCGTTTGGATGGATCGGTTTAATCCGATCTGATCAAGTAAATCCAAATTAATTTCGGTTTTCAAAATATAAATCCAAATAGTTCAAACTAAATTCAAATCCGATCCGATCCAACCAAATTATAATTTGGTTGGATCGGTTTTTTACAATTCGGTTTTCAATAATCAAGACATTTCAATCAATATATGATTTTAGTATTAACTTACTCTATAATATAAACTACAAAATTATTGTTTAATTATTTGTGAATTAAAACTTATAAATAACTATCAAGAAAAATGTATTATACTTTACTACTTTATAGACAATTTATTTTTTATAAGAAGTAATTATTAAAGTATTATAATATATGAAAATTTTTAATATACTCAAAGAATAATTCAGTAAATTTATAAATTATTAAAGAAATATACTAGAAAGAACAAAATAATAAATTGCAATTCGGTTTTTTTGGACAATTCGGTTTTTATTTTATAAACCAAAACCAATCCGAAATCCAAAATAATAATTCGGTTTTGCTAAAAACAAATCTAAATATTCAAATATCCAAACCAAATAGTACACTTCAACAATTCAGTTTTATCCAAATAGTAAACCTACACAATCCAGAACAATTCCTTAATTCCTCATTATATGAAAAGACAAAATAATGGTAAGAGAATATAATTTCATGAAAAAAGACAAACTAATTTTCTCTTTCTTTATCCCTTAAATCGCAATGATTTTCCCAAACTAAAATATTTAAAACAGGTGGAATTTTAACATTTGTTAAATCTCTTATTACAAATGTCCAATAAAGCCCAATGCATGATTGGTTTCATTTAAGGCCCATATAAATGTTAATTAAAAGTTAAAACGACGACTTTGACCAATCACTCTACTAAAATCTACACGTTCTAGATCTCTATCATTTTCCCCCTTTTTCAAGCCCCTTGGCTCTCTGCAAACCCTAACCGATCTTCATCACTCTCTCACTTTTCCCCTTGGAACCTAACTCTCTGCAACGATTCGCCATGGAATTCGGCCTCGCTAGAAAACGAGGGAGGCCAGCTGGCTTGAATGGCAACGGTGGATTCAAGAAATCCAAACAAGGTAACATCGAATCTCTCTTCTTCAATCTAGATCTAGGGTTTCGATAATGTTTAATGCTTCAAGATTTCCTTTTCCCATTCGATCCCCCGTCTAGTTTTTCATTCTAAAAGTAGTACCTATGTGGAACTGTCATTTAAACAAGTTGTTCAATATTCATCGTCCAATAATTTCTTTTTCTTCTTTCGAGCTTGTGTTCAACGAAGTGGAATAACTTATTAAGTCGTTGTCCGAAGAGAAATTGTCGAGTGTGAGAGGAATTAATTAATGATAAGCTCTTAGAGCAGAGCGTCTGCAACTTTGTAAATCTTGAAATTACAACTGAGATAAAATAATTAATGTGATGTAACAGACACGGAGTCGTTTCAATCTGGTTTAGGAAGCAAATCGAAGCCATGCACAAAGTTTTTCAGGTTTAAATTCTAACTTGGCTAAAATCAATCTTGTAAATTATTAATCATTTATACATTCTAATGCTTATTAATTCGATGAAAATTACACTACACAATTAAAATATATATATATCATCTGGACTAATGGCTTGGAAATCTAAAGTTTTGATACAGGTTATATGATATCTACACACATAATCAAGATAACAACCACCATCATAACAAGGAGTACAGAACAGAACTACAGAAATCATCGTTTCATGAAAGAAACATTAATTCCAATCTTTAACACATCTTAAATACTTCAAATTCTTATTTTCAATATCATATTATCATCTATGGCCATGATACAGGGAAATTCGTATTTGGAAACTAAAATTACACAGTATACATAACATATAAAGCTCAATACATCATATCAAAGGTTTACCTTTCTTAATAATACTTCTAGATAATCACATTGATTTTGGTTTATATTGCACTTACTTTACATAGAACTAACACAGGGGCATAATAGTCATTTTAGTTTTGACTTTTGACTTTTGACTTTTGACTATTGACACAACTTTCTCTATTCTGTTTTTTATTTTGATGTGCAGCACATCTGGATGCCCATTTGGCGAAGGGTGTCATTTCTTGCACTATGTTCCCGGAGGTCTAAAAGCTGTCAACCAAATGACTGGCGGCAACCACCCTGCGCTACCACCAACCGCCAGACCACCTGTCCTCCCGCCATCTTTCCCGGACGGGTCATCTCCGCCAGCTGTCAAGAGCCGCCTCTGCAACAAGTTCAACACCGCAGAAGGCTGTCGATTTGGTGACAAGTGTCATTTCGCCCATGGTGAATGGGAACTCGGGAAGCCAACCGCCCCATCTCACCATGAAGACCCACGCACCATGGCCGCTAGATTTGGCGGCGGTGGGCGGAATGATTTTAATCCGGCGGCAAACAACACTGCCGCCGCCAGTTTTGGCGCCTCTGCAACCGCCAAAATCAGTGTCAACGCGTCACTAGCGGGAGCTATTATCGGGAAAAGCGGAGTCAACTCTAAGCAAATTAGTCGGTTGACTGGAGCTAAATTGTCAATAAGAGATCATGAATCGGATCCGAATTTGAGAAATATTGAATTGGAAGGTACTTTTGATCAGATTAAACATGCGAGTCAAATGGTGCGTGAGTTGATTGTGAATATAAGTTCGGCTTCTGGACCACTGCCGCCACAGAAGAGCTTTGGAAAGGCGGGTGGTGGTGGTGGTGGTGGTGGTCCGGCGGGGAACTTTAAGACGAAGCTTTGTGAGAATTTTGCTAAAGGGACTTGTACTTTTGGTGAGAGGTGTCATTTTGCTCATGGGGCTGAAGAGTTGCGTAGTTCTGGAGCTTGATTTTGAGGATTATTTTTAGAACATATGATGTTTTGGAGTATCTGAGATGTTGATTGTTGAGGATAGTTGTGATTTTTTAAAGTTGGTATTAGGTTTTTTTGTTTCAGATTTTTAGAAAAAACAAAAAAAGTTGTTAAAATTTGGGTTGATGTTGTTGCGTTGGTTAAGGGTGGGATGAGGGTAAAAAATGGTAGCTCTAAAAAGGTCGGGATTGCAAACGGTTGGTTATAACTTATATTTGTCTGAAACGTTTTTAATTTGAGATTAAGATATTAAGTCTATAAAATTGAAAATGTCATATCATTTTTGCCATAATTGCAATGTTATTTTGTGATCATTAAAAGCAAAAATACTTTTCTTTCTTAATAAGTGCTAAGTAGTTATCTTTCTCTAGTAAAGGTACGATTAGTGGGTTTGTGTTTGCCATTAAAAAAATAGTAATAATAATAAAAGAAAAAGCCAAATACGAACCCCATAAGAATCAACTGTCTTTTAAATGACAAAAAAAAAAAGAACTACACTGTTAATCGACTTACACTTCAACTTCCTGTTCGCTTCAAAGCTCAAAAGTCAAAATTGCAGGATCTCGATCCCAAGTAAACATTAAAAAAAAAAATCAATAAGATTCAGATGCATAACAACAATATCATGATATCATGCTATAAATAATTTTTCCTAGTTTGCCTTCTTTCTTTTCTTAGACCTATTTTTGGTTCGAAAATTCCCCTTTCTTTTTGACGATTTTCCAGACGCCTTCTTTTGCTGTGGTTTTGCTTTTGCTTTAACATCTTCTGTTTCAATAGGATTCTCATCATCACTCAACTCTTCTTCTTCATCTGAACTAAGAACAAAATCCTCCACAACATCTTCATCAGTAGCACCCTTTTTCCCAACACCTTTCTGTTTCTGTCGCTTCTTTTCCTTTTTATCCTTTTCATCCTCTTCAAGATTCTTCGCCCTATAAAAAAAACAATTTGTGTTTTTTTAAAACACAAGTAAAATGATAGAAAGAGATCAAGAAAGTTAGAAAAAAAAAACACATACTTGCGATCACCACTTGGTAACCATGTAGAACTAAAGACAGCAGCACCATCAACATTCACATCATCATCGTCATCATCCTCATCCTCATCATCATCATCATCATCATCATCATCATCTTTACGTTTCTTTTTACCAAAGATTGATGCTTTTTCACCCACAATTATACTGAAAAAACATACACCAAATCAATTTCATATAAAATCTTTTATATTATATGTAGATAGGAATATAATTTTTTGTAAAAAATATTAAAAAAATGAAACATTTAACAAACCTGGACTCAACCAATGAATCGTTTCTTTGTTGTGCTTTTTGACGAAGAATGGCAACATATTTAGACAGAGGACTAACACCCTTCTTTTTCTCTTCCTGTTTCAAGTCAAACACACCATTGACTTCACATAAATGTAGTTTAAAAAGTCTCAAACTAGAGCATCAAAAATATGCAAACCTCCATAAACGATGAAGCAGAAGGATCATTTGGTAGATAAGAAATTGACATTCTCTTTTTATTAGTGAACTCAGAGTTAGCTTCAATCTGCATATCATAAAACAACCAAGAGAAGATAGTAATCATCAAAATCAAAATCCATTAGTTTCAAGAAACAAAATGATAATAAAAATTTGTTCACCTCACGAATGAATTGCCTCATTTCACGCCTAAATCTCTCAACTTTTGTGGATTTACAGAAGCTTCGCATACGAACAGCTGGAATAAAAGAAAGCTCAAAGAAAGAAGGAGAATAACTCCATTGTGCTAAATGCTCAGCAAGTTCTTCAATTACACTAAAAACACATGCTTCTTGGAAAGATCGTGTCTTTATAGTTGCCTTGCTAACCTGCCATTTTCAAATTGTTTGAATATATAAAAAGTTTGTTTTTTTTTTATGAAGGGTAAATGCAACAAATAGTAATGTTATGTTTTGTTTATTTATTATAGCAAAGTTATCCAAATTCTACTCATTTTCATTACTATGGTGCTTTAGGAAATAACTGAACATATTTCAAATCATTCAAAAAGATTAAGAGTTTATTTTCATTAGAGTATTTTACTTTAAGATTCTACACCCAATTATAGCAATATCATCCAGTTTCTATGTAAGATGCCTTAGAGGGTGTTTGGGTGTTAATCTAAATATGACTTTTTAACTTATTGACTTCTTGAAAAGTCAATAAGTTTTTAAAAAAAAAACAAAAGTGTTTGGATACCTAATAAGGAGTTTTAAAACAACTTTTTGTTTACCCTTTGAAAAGGAGTTTTTAAGAAGTAACAATTTGTGACTTTTTGAAATGACTTATAACTTATTAGGATTAAAAAAACAAACAAATGACAATTTTAAGCCAAACACTTTTTAACTTATTGACTTTTGTCACTAAAAAACTAATCCTAACACTTTTAAAAACTCCTTTTTTCCACCTTCATAAGTCAACAAGTCCTTTTCAACTTCAAAATGAAATCTAAGACACAAATAAACAAAATCACATTGATTGTAATCAACCCTTTTCATAAAACAAAATTTCAAAACTTACCCTTAAAACAGTTCTCAAATCAACAGCTTTTCCAACACCTCCAGTTGGAGGTTTATTCAGCTCTTTCATATCCAACATGTCAGAAAGAAGAACAGCAACTGGAATAAAGGTGTTTGTAGCATTAGCAATTTGATTCAGCATCCTGATGCATCTTAATCTTAGTGGAAGATATCGAGCAGTTGGAACTAATCTCACAACTCCAGATATTATTTGAGTTAATGGATATGCAAGTGGCTTAAAATCAGCTTCCGAACCATATGCACAAATAGCTCCAGTCCAAAGTTGAAGACAATTCATATACTTCCATTCATAAACTTTCCTAAAGATTTCCTGTTATAAGACCAAAATACAAAACCTATAAGCATAATAAAACAGACCCTTTAGTGGTTTTTGTGAAAGAATTAAAGAATTTATTTGTTTACCTTTCTTTTTGTTGAAAGTGCTTCATGTAAAATCATGGATAATTGGCGAATGAAAAGAAAGGCGTGTTGATATGCAGATGGAAGATCGACTCTATAAAGCTCATTGACACAATTTCCAAGAAACTGTACTTGTTGAAGTTTGCTTGGGTTTACAAAATGACAATTCAGGACATATGCTTTGTATATTCCTTTGAAACATTCGTCTATACAATCAGAACCTAAACGAATGCATATATCTCTAAGGAATAGTAATGAAACTATTGGTAGTGCACCTCCCCCTGTGCCCCAAAAATGAAGAACAACCTGTCAAGAAAAGGAATTGGAATATCAAATTATTGAAATTCGTTATGTGTTTTGATTTGCAGAAAATGAAATGAAATGAAATTCAACTGCATTCCTTTGTGGATTTCTGTTTTTGGTTTAACATAACTATCAAAGGGTTTGTATATTTCTCTTTGATTTGTGGAATTTAGGGTTAGAAAGGGTATTTTGGTAATTCTGACATGAGGGAAATGCTTGGAATTGAATTCCATGGGTGTTAACATGGAAGCTTGAAATCAACCAGTCAAAAAAGGGTATTTTGGTAATTTCATACTCATTTGCAAATAGTCAACTGATGGTATATTTTAGACAAAAGCACATAAAAAATCCATTCCTTTCTGTATCTCTGTTTGGTTTTGAAAAAAACTATCAAAGGGTTTGTATATTTCTCTTTGATTTGTAGAATTCTAGGGTAAAAAGGGCATTTTGGTAATTTCAACAAGTGGGAAATGCTTGGAATTGAATTCCAAGGGTGTTAAAATGGAACCTTGAAATCAACCAGTTAAAAAGGGTATTTCAGTAATTTCATACTCATTTGCAAATAGCCAACTGATGATATACTTTAGTCAAAGCACATCAAAAATCCATTCCTTTGTACATCTCTGTTTGGTTTGAATTAAAAAAAAAAAAAAAACTATTGAAGGGTTTGTATGTATATTTCTCTTTAATTTGTAAAATTCTAGTGTTAAAAGGGCATTTTGGTAATTTCAACAAGTGGGAAAATGCTTGGAATTGAATTCCATGGGTGTTAAAATGGAATCTTGAAATCAACCAGTCAAAAAAGGGTATTCTGGAAATTTCATACTCATTTGCAAATAGTCAACCAATGATATACTTTAGTCAAAACACATTTATAATCCACAAAAAAACGAAAGCTTGAAAACAAGAAAACACGCACCTTTATGTACTTCCTTAGTAAGCTTGGAAAAGCAGCAAGAAATAAAGAAGAGTACTTCAAACGTCTCAATGTAAAAGCAATCATATCTGTATCTGTCATTTGATTCAAAACATGAAGAGCATTTCCAAGATACGCCTTCACTAAATGATTGTAGTTTTTCCATGCTCTTGTGTTCATCAACTCAACAATCATCTCCTTCTTTCCACCCGAAAGTGGAAGCTTAAGAATTGTTCTCAAAATCCCATCCATCTCACTCAACACAAACAACAAAATCTTATTGAAAACAGGAAAAGACATTGAGCTCAACTTTGATTCACTATCATCATCACCACAATGACATGCACTCCTAAAAGCTCTCATGATTGATCGAATTGCACCTATTCTTCGTTCTTCATGAATGGTTTTAATCCATGAATCCACCATTTCACTTGTTATTGCTTTTGTGGAGGATTCTTTGTCCTTTTTTGTGGAAGATTGAGTTTCATCTTCTTCATCTTGACCTTCTTGTGTGTTATCATCATCATCATCCATGTCTGTTTCTCCATCCTCCTATGGATGAAAAGAAAATTAGCTTACAATCTACATAGAGGATTCCTTATACATATTATTAAAGAAGCTTATATTTGACTTTTACCTCATCATCGAATTCAAGAAGCTCTTTGTCATGTTCCTTCAAGTATTCATAAAACTCTGGATCCTGTAGGGGTAAAAATGTGATTTTATCAACATTCAAATGGTTCGTAATGAAACAAGAATCAAAATTGTTTCATGATCCGATAATAATA